TTTACTTTCTTGGGCTCCATGATCACTGCAGATGGTGACAGCAGCTACAAAAGATACCTGGTTATTGGAAGGAAAGCAATGAGAAACCTTGACAGCATTTTAAAAAGCAGAGACTTCACCTTGCCGACAAAAGTCCGAATAGTCAAAGCTATGGTTTTTCCTGTCATGATGTATGGAAGTGAGAGCTGGAGCATAAAGAAAGCAGACCGCCAAAGAATTGATGCTTTTTGAACTGTGGTGCTGGAGGAGGCTCTTGAGAGTCCCCTGGAATGCAAGGAGAACAAACCTATCAATTCTAAAGGAAATCAACCCTGAGTGCTCACTGGAAGGACAGATCCTGAAGCTGAGGCTTCAGTACTTTGGCCATCTCATGAGAAGAGAAGACTCCTTGGAAAAGACCTTGATGTCAGGAAAGTGTGAAGGCAAGAGGAGAAGGGGACGACAGAGGATGAGATGGTTGGACAGTGTCATCGAAGCAACCAATATGAATTTGGCATAACTCCGGGAGGCAGTGGAAGACAGGAGTGCATGTTAGTTATATATTGTTTCTTCTAATATTACCTGGCACATTCTACACTAGTTTCCTGAACTTTTACACTAGTTTCCTGGACTGCCAATTTCTTTTTAGTGCCAAGTGGATTCCAGTTGTCAGAATTTAGCCCCCAAATGCAAGCCTGAAAAGCAAAATAAAGCGCCATCTGACTGGTATATGCTTGTTTTGTTATGTAAGGTAGACCATCCATGTTGATGGGTGTAATATAAAAATAAATAAATATCTATGTAATATTGTTTATATTCTAGATTCTACCTATGTTTTACATTACATTGGGCTTTTTGGACAACATACTCCATGTCATATCCACAACCTGTAAGCAGTTATAAAGACTTGACCCTCCAGAAGTGCTTTGGTACTGTGGGCATGGACTGGCTTCCAGTTTAAAGGAACTTACACAGGACTGAGCAGGCTGCATGCTAATTCCTGTTCTATATGAACCAGGGTTATTATTGCAAAATAGCAACAAGATCTTTTGTTGATTTTCCTTCAAAACCTGGAGTGACATTTCACTTGTGCTGTATTCTCCTGCAGCCGTCTCAGGAACAAAATACCTGGATCAGATTCAGAAGGATGTCTCCCACAGCTATAAATTCTCAGCTATCCAACAAACAGCAACAGAGCATGGACAGAGTTCCTACTCCAGTCCTCTGAAGATGCCAGCCACAGAGACTGGCAAAACATCAGGAAGAACAACCTTCAGAACACGGCCAAAGAGCCCAAAAAACCCACAACCACCATTGACACTTTGTCCCCAATTTGGACATTGTCATTTAGGGGTGTACTCACTTTTGTTGCCAGCAGTTTAAACATTAATGGCTGTGTGTTGTGTTATTTTGTGGGGACAGGACATTTACACTGTTATACAAGCTGTATGCTCACTGCTTTACATTGTAGCCAAGTGTCATTTCTTCTGTGTTGTCACATGAAAAGATATACTAAAATATCTATGAAATGTGAGGGGATGTACTCACTTCTGTATATATGTGTATGCACACATTCCTCTCCCTGAGAGGATGCATTGTCCTTTCAACTATTCCTTTCCCTCACTTTCTCTGGGGCTCCTTTGGGAATCCACATGCAATAGCAGATTCAGATGGATTGCACCTGGAGTGGAGGAAAAGTGAGAAGGAGCTTCTGTCCATCTCTGCAAAGAGACAAGGAACTGGATTTTTCAACTTAATGCCACAACACACCATAGCTCTCCTATCCCTACAATGCCAGCTGACAGTTTATGGAACATAACGAGAAATATTGTTAAACACAATGTACTTTTCTCCTGCCACTGTAACAAAGTAATTTAAACAAGTGCAACTCATACTCCTCCCACCTCTCAAACCCTATTAGGACAAACAGCATTGATCTTCTAAGATCTGGAGTTTATTCTAGACAGGCTTAAGTCATGGACATTTCATGTTTGAAACTATGCTCCAAAATTAAAATTCCCACAGTTCCTAAGTTCATGTTCACATTTTCTTTGCACGTAAAGAAGTCAACAAATCAGCCAACTAGTTGGAGGAGAATAGAAGATGTGCAAGCAGATAGGATTCCAGCACTGAGTCTAGGATGAGTTGGAGAGGGCAATTTCTGTATAGCAGAATTGGGGAGAAGGGTTAGATGAAAGTACTAGAAAACATAATAAGGTTTTGACTTGGGATACAACAGCACTAACAGCAGAGAGCAAGCTAGTATGGGCAAATAGGGAACAGTTGGGCTTAATCAGAGTGACCTAATAAAACCTGACCATTCACACAGAAATGGCTCCTGCGAATGTCATTAAGTGGCATAATAGGTGAGCTACTTCAGCGTATTGGCATATTAATCACTTCCTCTACTTGGTAGAGGGCAGGGGAACTTAATTTTTTTTTACTACATATATATTGCTGATGTGCTGCATCAGTTATAAAGCAAAATTGTTTTTTAAGATCTTTCTTTTGCCTTCTCTTGATGGGCAAGTTAAGAAACTGCCTGCAGCCAAAACCACCAGTTTGGATTTTACTGTGGGCAATTTCTCAATCAGCCCTTTAAGGTAAGGCAAAAAATAAAAATAAAATAAAATTATAACTGATGTAGCACATCAGGGATAGTCTTCATACAGAGCTCCAGACAGCAGGCTAAACAGCCTGTATACTCAATCTCTAAGTCACACTGACTTTTAATAGGCACAAGATGATTCCTGGATGCCCCAAGTCAATCTCAGAGCAACTATGGAATTGAAAATATTTTCAGTAGTCTTAATTCCGCTAAATTCAAAAAAGAGAAAGCAAGCTGACATGCAAATTCAGCACTTAAAGTTGCTTGTACATCACAGGGAAAAGCATGCTGTCACCAGTGAACGATCTCTATATGAATGCTGAATTCCACTGATTTTATTGCAGATCAGCTTTGCGGACGCAAACCTTCTTCCACGTAGTCTGCTGCTAGGTTCATCTGACAGTCCCTAAGCGCTTTGATAACATCATCAACCTTGGCTTCCCTCTCTTTTGATTTACGCCACTCTAAAAGCGACTGCATCAGTTGTTCTTCCAAGTTGTATGGATTGGCCATTACAATTCTATCTATTTTGGCTTCTGAAATCCCAAGTTTTCGGATCAGCATTTTCCAGTTTCTTCCAACATGTTTACATATGATTTCGAAAGCTCTGTCCAGCTTACCTAGAAAGAAAATTGTAGCTTGCATTAAATTACTGGTTTGTAGCATGATGTTCCCAGTGAGAAGTGGAAGGTTCCCAGTGACAAGCTTTATCTTAACAGAGCATGATGGTTTTAACACTGACTTTGCCCTGTATCTGCCACCTTGCAAATGCCCTTCTTTACACTTAGTTGGACAAGGTTCCTAGGTAGACATAAATTCTAAACTCCAAATTCTATTAGATTCCAGCTTCCTGGAGTTTATGCTTTGGGGCATCAGCTGATAAAACCATAGGCTGCTTTCAGTCTCAAGCTAATTGCTAACTCTCCCTTCCTTGGAAACTTCCTGAAAGAACTAGAAAAAAAAAGAAAGAGATAGAAATTTTACAGGCAGGGCAGACTGGGCATCACTACAGGCATGATTCTTCTCCTTGTCAGTTTCCTTCCATTGATCTATTGGGAAAAGGGAAATGGAAATGAATCTTCTGCTTCTTTCTTCTAAGCAGTTACAAAAAGTTCAAAGAATTGTCTAACTACTTCCTGATTGATCAGCAAAGTATGTATATGTTCTCATTCCTATGCCTGAATATATGGCCACCTTTTCTAAAGGCAGAATTTCAATAATGTTAGATTAACTTTAGAAATTCAATAGGACGTTTTTGGAATGCAGAAGACACTGAAATAGATGAATGGCCTCATTCTGACTGCTGCACAGTTGTTAAAGGGAGCAACTCTATTCAGGGCTGATACCAGGGCTGCCAACAATTTATTAGCCTCTTCATTGTCTTTCATAACAGTCTGAAGTAGATCAAGCTACAGGAAAAGGCTGAATTGAGGCTTGCTATGCCATGCAGTTGGTTGTAGTAACCTGATTTAGACTGTACTACAAGGTAAATGGGACAAACATAGGGCAGAAAGATTTTTTTTTTAAGTGCTGGTCCTCTGCAGAGAATGCAGAGTCTAGTTCCAGCACAAATGCCTTAATTGTCTGGCTTTATACCAGGTGTGGGGAAATTTTGGCCCTCAAGATGTTTTGAATTACAACTCCAATAATTTACCTTGCTGGGTGGATCTTCTGGGAGTTGAACTCCAAAACATCTGGTCCTCCAAAAGGTCTCTGTTCTTGATTTAAAGCAGGGTTGGGCAACTGTAGTTCTCCAGATGTTGTTTCATCCTTCACCACTTATTATGCTTCTTAGCTTTAATGGGCATAGAGTCCAATTACATCTGGAGTGCCACCACTGCCTCTCCTGCATTTATACTTATAGTTCTAGACACATTTGCTGGAAGGTAGACATACTGGCAAAAATCCTCTTAGTTAGATCTACTGGCATAATACAGCTGGTGTCAATTTTGGTATTGAATCGCTTCAAGTTAAAATACAAGCATTGGCATCTGCTGTTGCACACCAAATCACACAGCAGAAAATGCCTATTTTCACTTCTTGATCTGCAGTAATTTGCCACCAGGATTTACACCAATTACATTATATCAAGATAAAAAAATTATCAGATTTTGGAAAGTTAACTTACTTTTGAGTAAACTTTTGGGTAAAAGTACACAGACGTTTCGAGTTACTTGTGAGCAGATTAAATTCTATTCCCCCAACAAATTTCTGATTATATTTCTTCTTATATAGAACTAACAGACCAGACCCAGCAAATGTGCCTGAAGCTTAATCATCATTGTCATCATCATAGAACTGCAGAGCTGAAAGGGACTGTATGGATCACTGAATTTAGTCCTGTGAAAGAGGAATCAAACTCCCAAACTCTGAAATGAAACTGCCCCTCAGCCATTGCCAGCTGGGAGACCCTCTAGAACAGTATGAAATGGAGTGTCCTGGAAAACAGAAGCACTCAGCAGACACCTTCTTTGACTAAAAGCTCCTCTCTCCTTCAGCAAGATATCTCTAGGCTTTGAAGGGAGTTCTCTACAAAGCATTCCTGTCTTGTAGTGGAAATTATCCTGCTGTACTGGGCAGCATGTCTCAATATATCATGTTGGCACACAGAAATAACTGTGAATCCTTTGGCACCTTAAAACTCGAAACAGTTTCCAAAAAGGAATCCTGTGCACATTCTAGACTGCAGCTACCATGAGTTAATGTCACACCTTCCTGACTGGGAGAGCAGTACAGCAATGGAATCAATTGCCTTGAAGGGGGGGGGGTGAGAGCTCCAACACTGGAGGCATTAAAGAGAAACTTAAGACGACCGCCTGGCAAATCTCCTTTGATTCGTATTCTTGCATTGATCTGGGGATGGGACCTGATGGCCTTTCAACTTTATGATTCTATTCTTGCAGGCATCAAATTACCTCAGGCAGCAGATTGTAGGGGACAGAGGTATTCTCATTAGTAATGGCATTAACATCCCTGCTGGAGAGCACAGCGGTATATACCATGGAACGTTGTCTCGGCCTCCCAAAACCAGTCCAGTCAAATTCTGTGCATGGACTGTGTATGTATGTGCGGCGTTTATCCTTTGCTTCAGGCCACAAAATATTTTGGGCTACTCTTTACTGCCCTTCCTCAAGCAGGCAAAGACCCTTCTCTTCAGGCAAGCTTTCCCTGAGTGACTGAATGCCAAGTGGGGTTTTTAAATGGATCGTTCTGCTTTACTGCTTTGAATGTGTTTTGGTGTTGCTTCTGTTTTTTGCTATTCTATCCATTGAACTTTTTAATTTTGTATACTCATTGTTACCAACTCAAAGACTGTCTTTTGATTGTTGTAAGTAATTTTTGTCCTTTTTCAAGAGAAAGGCAGGTTAAGAATGTTTTAAATAAATAAATCAATAAATAATTTTATTCGGGAGCAAGACCAGCTATGTTCAATTACTGCCAAGTAAGCTGTGATCCTGTACAACACAGGGCAACACAAGTGTTCATGAACTTGACCAAATAATAATAATAATAATAATAAAGAGTTACACAGGGCAACACAAGTGTTCATGGACTTGATATAATTAAAAAAAAAAAAAGAGTTAGCCACCTACATTTTTCTTGAACATCCAGCTGGTTATTTTGTTCATCACCCCTTCCTTCTGCAAACTGTTCCATCTGCGTTACCAGATCATCTCTTTTCAGGACTTGGAGCATGGTTCTTAAAAATTCTAAGTTCTTAGGTGTAATTTTTTCCTGCTCTAAGAGAAGGTCGAAGAGTTCGTGGCCGCTTTTCACAGCCTGGAGCTTTCTTTTACCAATCAAGTCCCGACACAGAAATTTCATAGTAACTAGTTCCTCTGGAGCCAAGGCCCTGGAAATTGAATGCAGCAGACCCAAAAATGGATCCATGATTTCTGCAAAACCGAGACAGAGGAAGAGAAAGGATTAAAATTGGGATACAAATACATTACATATATACCCCTCCAACACAATGAGTTTCTAGTAGAAAATACGATTTTAACGTACGTTCTGGCTTCCTGGTTCACGGTGCAGCCGATATTTATTTACCATCCTATGTCCCAAGTTGCTTCACATGAATTTCAAGTTACGTTCTGGGTTATTGTTCTGAATGTTTGTTAGCAAGCAGGGACAAAGAAAAAAAATAAGTTTTAGTAAATACTACTCACTTCCTGGTTTAAAGTTTTTCGTCTCGCGCGGCCGGAACACGCGACACACAGGAAAACTTTTCTGCTGCTGCCTTCGGGACTCTCCGCCCAAGAGGGTTGAGCCATTTCTTTCCGGAAATCACATGAAAAAAGAGACCTTCCGTGACACCAGATGGCAGTGTTGTCCGCTTTTTAACAAAAAAAAAAAGTTTGTCGGCGCTTCAGGTTCAGTCTTACGTTATGACTTAGAAGATAACTCAAAAAATCGGTCGCAACACGCCAAAACAGTCTTTGGTTTTACTGGAAGTTCTAATTAATTCGAATTAAACTCAGCGGTTGCTTCAGAAAAGTAGTAGATAAAGGAGATAAGTAAAAACTGATGCCCACATTCAGTCCAAATAGTAATATTGCACTGTGCAATCAAATAATTTTACAAGTACCACTGATTTCCCCTGGAAATATTGAGCGTATGTTAATTGCCAGAACAACAAAATAAGATCAGTGGAAAGTACTTTCTCTTTTTGTTTCTTTATACAGTATCTTTGTGATACTTACAGATTGCTTAATCTGCCTAGAGTGGTCGAAATGACTAGATAGGTGGGGTATAAATAAATAAATAAATAAATAAATAAATGTAATAACATTTCAAAATGACTTGAATACAACATACTGGCCTGCATACTGGGCCAATACGGTTTGTTTGTTTATTTATTATTTATTTAAAACATTTACAGCCTACCTTATATCACAGGATAGCAGAATATGTAGAGCTGTATAAAACAATTTTCAAATGTAACTTAATTAAATGATTTTAAAACAAGCAATTTAAAAGATTAAAACAGTTGCATTAAAATCTGTGGAGACCACCATTCTCAACCCCCAAAGGCTCTAATAAATAAATATGTCTTGATTTGGCACTTAATATCGGCAATAAATAATGGCAATATTGGTGCCAACTTAGCCGCCAAGGGCAGGGCATTCAACAGCTGGGGCATTGCCACAGAAAAATCCCTCCTTCACCCCCAATATCTCCACATAATGAACTGATATCCGTGGCGGAGCACAGAGCAGGGCCTCTTGAGCAGATCCTAGTGCTTGTTCAGGTTTATACAGTGAGAAGTGTTCGCTCAAAGTCCAAACCATTTAAAACTTTGTAAGTCATTGTCAACACTTTGATCTCAGACCAGAAGCATATTGGCAGCCTGGGCAAATCCTTCAGAACCTATGTCATGTGGATTCTGAAGGATGTTCTTGTTAGCAATCTAGCTGCTGCGTACCGTGCTTGCTGCAGTATCCATGTCAATTCAAGAATAGTTCCACACAGAGTGTATTGTAGTAGTCTACCTGGGATGTTACGAGGGTATGAGTTACTGAGACCAAGTTGTCCTTGTCCAAAAATGGTTGTAGCTGGTGCCCAGGCACATATGAGTCTCCAATGACAAAGATAAATCTAGGAGTAGTGCCAGACTACACACCTGCTCCTTTAGACATGCTTTGCTCCAGCCAGAGCATGTCTTCTGCCCAATTCCAAACCAGGAGGCAACAAACTCTCACTCTCTCTCTCTCTCTCTCTCTGTGTGTGTGTGTGTGTAAAAATGCATAAGGGCTTATTTTCAGGGGATGTTTTATTTTACAGTCATGTCATCTTCTGTTTGCTGCACAATGGTACACAATGGTGGAGAGCAGGTTTTAACTGAACTAAGGCTTATTTTGGGGGTAGGGCTTATATTATGAGCATCCTGAAAAATCATACTAGGGCTTATTTTCAGGTTAGGTCTTATTTTCGGGGAAACAGGGTATATATATTATGGAAGTACAATGATAATATGGAAGTACAATGACAATAAAGTAAATTCAAATAAAATACACACACACACACACACATACACACACAAACGTACAAATGTACATATATACATACATATATGTACGTATGCATGCATGTATATACATACACACATATATATGTATGTATATATATGTATATATATGTATGTGCATATTTGAATTTTTATTTGAATTTACTTTGTTGTCATTGTGCTTCTGTATTGTCATTGTACTTCCATAATACACACACACAGAGTACAGTATATATACAATATATATATTTGAATTTTTATTTGAATTTGCTTTATTATCATTGTATTTCCATAAAACAAAATTAAATGCCATCTCCAGTGCACATAATAATAAAACACACAAGAACATAGCATCCATAACATGATAACATAGCACATTACAAATGAAATACATCCCTCTCATTCACATCCACATCTTTCACATTCAGTTTCCCATCATACATGGTAACAATTGAAAGAGCAAATGGCTTGGGTGTGGTGGATCTTTGAGAATATTTTGGGCATTCTTATGGAGATTTTCCAAAGCAGGAAGAGGGCAGCCACTGATCCTCTGGGTTATTGTAATAATCCTCTGGAGCATTTTCCTATCTGCCATTGTACAGTGAGCAAACCATATACCAGAGCAATGGGTTAAAATACTCTCTATGATACAGCGGTAGAAGGTTACCAGCAGTTTTCCATTCAGTTGTTGTCTCCTGAGAAGTCTCAGGTAATACTGTACTGTATAGTCTTTGCTGGGCCCACTTAACCACTGCTGTAATATGAGCGCTCTGAACTGTTCTCACTGGTGGAGCACAGAGCAGGGCCTCCTGATATGATTACTTTGTTTGGGAGTAGGAGGTTCTGTGTTTTTCCCATCTATACAACACCTTCATGTGTCTGCTGCAGATCCATGCCTTTGCTTTCATGCCTCTGGTCACATTCTTCTTAGGATGGTGTTTATGTTGCAGTAAGCAAGACAGATATGCCATAGTTCAATATAGCACCAAATAGCACCTCAAGGACGGCATTCCAGAATGTTTCCTTTTGTATTACCATGTTCTTCATATCATATGATTAAGATTTCCCATGGAGCTCCTATCCACCAGTAGGTTGATAGCAATTAATTGCATCCTTAATTATGATTTCTGTTAGATTTGAGGTCTAAAGGCCAGATTCTTCAAGAAAAAGATGAGTCTTCAGAATAGATATGATGGGTTGTTAGAGCAGTGTTTCCCAACCTTGGATAACCCAGGTGTTCTTGGACTGCAGCTTTCAGGAGCCCTGGTAAGCACAGCTGGTGGTGAAGACTTCTGGGAATTTTAATCCAAGAACTCAAGGTTGGGAACCACTGGATTAGAGCAATAGGATGCAAGCTGGTGCCCTCTGGGTATACACCTCCCATAAGTCACAATCAGCGTGATGTATGGGAGTTATACTCTCACTTATGGAGCACATGATTGCTTGTTCTTGGATTGGTGAGACAGAAGCATCTGGCACTGGGCATTGAAAATACTCTAATATTGTGATATAATAGGAATACATCAAGACATTGAAATTTAATATGCACACGTACTTAGCTTATCATTCATTTTAATATGACTCCCATAGTGTATTAGTAGTGCAACATTTAAAAATAAAGTTTGTCAATCTGGAATAAACTATAAACCTAGTTGGATTATGGTTCCTCATTTGCCAGAGTGAGCACATGCAATATAATGTGGTACCATAAGAATGTGTTCTTGAAAAACCCTTTGCTTTCATTAAGAAAGTGAATGGGATTTAATAAAAGGAACCTAAAATATATTTAAAACATAAACACAATGGTCCAGTTTTCTCAGAAAACAAACCTCAGCATGTGTAGAGCTATATCTGCTTAAATCCAATTGAGGGAACTCAAAGATTACAAAACACGAACCTTTCCTGGGAAAATTATAGTTGTATTCCAGGTATGTTATTGTTGCTGTTCAGTCGTTAAGTCATGTCCGACTCTTTGTGACCACATGGACCAGGGCACGCCAGGCCCTCCTGTCTTCCACTGCCTCCCAGAGTTTGGTCAAATTCACGTTGGTAGCTTCGATGACACTGTCCATCCATCTAGTCCCCTGTCATCCCCTTCTCCTCTTGCCCTCACACTTTCCCAGTATCGAGGTCTTTTCCAGGGAATCTTCTCTTCTCATGAGATGGCCAAAGTATTGGAGTCTCAGCTTCAGGATGTGTCCTTCCAGTGAGCACTCAGGGTCGATTTCCTTCAGAATTGATAGGTTTGTTCTCCTTGCATTCCAGGGGACTCTCAAGAGCCTCCTCCAGCACTACAATTAAAAAGCATCAATTCTTTGGCGGTCAGCCTTCTTTATAGTCCAGCTCTCGCTTCCATACATTGCTACTGGAAAAACATAGCTTTGATTATGCAGACTTTTGTTAGAAAGATGATGTCTCTGCTTTTTAAGATGCTGTGTTTGTCATCGCTTTCCTCCCAAGAAGCAGGTGTTTTTTAATTTTGTGGCTTCTGTCGCCATCTGCAGTGATCATGGAGCACAAGAAAGTCAAATCTGTCATTGCCTCCATATCTTCCCCTTCTATTTGCCAGGA